ACGTGTCGGACGCGTGTTAGCAGGAAAGTCGTGCGAAAGATAGAGCCGAGCTATCAGGTGCGTTCAGCTCAGTAGGTTGCATAAGTTTCTCAGGGTGTCTTTGGCCACTCAGGCCAGTAGCGTTTGGCTGCTGCCTTGCCTCAGGCCCCACGCAAAGATTTGCCTGCTGATACTATTTGCTCTAGCCCGATAGCTATAGGGAGCCGTTTGCTCTAGGCGCCAACCTTGCCCCTGGAGACTATAACTTCACACAGTGCTACCAGGATTTCTACAACAGGCCGAGGCCTGTTCAAGCTGTGCGGGCTCCCAACTCCTCGTCCATGTCTGGATATAATAAGAACCAGCAATATGTGTATGGTAAGTCTGTTGCGGCTCATCTGACAGTTTGGCCAGACCAGCTGCCCATGATTTGGTCGGATGGGCCCGTTTGGGCCCACGTGCGGAGGCCTGGCAATTTTAACTGACCACCCACCCTGCAGATGCCGAAGCCACAAGGTCGAATCAGGTCCCGAGCTACTCGGGTGTTGCACAGCCTGCATTCGCCTCGCAATACACGGATGCGCCCGCGCGTCTAACCCATGAACCCTCAGGTGCAGAGATGCCCTACATACCCAGCTCAACATACGAGTCACGCGGAACAGGCGACCTCCACCCCGATCCATCATTTATTGATGCAAGAACTCGTCATCCCGTCACTCATGCAGCTACTGATACGGAAATCACCGAACTGGTCTCGCCTACGCAGGGCACCGCTGGATCTTCCGTGTCCCTTCACCTAAGGACGAATTACGATCTCGCAGCCAGTCAAGAAACTTTTATCCTCATGTTTGGCTCCAAGAAGTGCATCGCTGCACTGCAGAAGGTGGACTATGACGACGATTGGTACAACTACGTTCTCAACGTCGAGGTTCCTCCCTTTCCGCTGACCAACTCCTGGAACCCGACCATGATGTTGAAATTTCAAATAGAGGACAAAATGGGCCACCTACGCTCTCAGACCGACGCGGGGAAATTCACCTTCACTGACATGTCGCCGAATCTCGCATATCAGTCATCCCCCGACTTCTCGAAAAAGCGCAAATATTCGAGTGAGTTTGGCGACCATCAGGATTATCAGGATGGTAATACTGCGAAACGCGCGAATGCACTTCGTTATCAGGCCAAACCACGGTCATCATCTGGGGCCTACTCGAGCTCCCAGCTTTCCCCACTGCCAGCTCATTCGTCACTGTCGAACGTGTATGGCGGATATGATCTCTCGAAGCAGGCAAATTACGGATCTCAGCTTTCTCAGAAAGGCCTCTACGCCGTACCCTCGGGTATGAGCCTGTCCCAAGCCGACTACAAACTCCCACAAATGTCACCAAGTCTGCACTCGTATGGCTCTTATAATCCTCATGCTCACCTCGGACGGAGCTCTGGCTCGCTATCAGCAAACACATCTGTATCTTCCGTACTTCCATCGCCGTCTGCGCTTGCAGCGCCAGTCTTGGTGCGAGCTACAACGCTTCCGCAGGCCGGTGGTCCCTCGACGGCGCAGCCATTCAACCCGTACTCCATGTACCAGACAAAGGCGGTCCTGAAGATTGATGGTGATCTCGACAAGATGAGCGAAGATTGGTCTCAAGAAGAGTTGGACGCAAAGCGGCGACTCGTAGAATTCAAAAGGTCGCAGCACGGAAGCACGATAACTACGTCTTTTACTCCAGTCACCCCCGAAGCTCGGGCGGCTCGCAGTATATGCGTCAGCTGCATCTGGTGGGAAGAGAAGGATGAATGTTTCATCACCAGCGTTGACACGATATATCTGCTCGAACAGTTGGTGAATGTGCGGTTCACGGTCGAGGAAAAAAACCGAATACGGCGCAATCTGGAGGGCTTCCGCCCTCTGACAGTTTCAAAGGCGAAACCGGACAGTGAGGATTTCTTCAAGGTCATCATGGGCTTCCCAAACCCGAAACCTCGCAACATCGAGAAGGATGTAAAGGTATTTCCCTGGAAGATTCTGACGCATGCGCTAAAGAAGATCATCAGCAAATATGTAAGTTTGCGTTTGAATACGGCACGGCATGAAACTAATATTCTACAGTCTGCCAGTTACTCCTCCACGGCTGGGATCGGATCTCTTCCCATCGCGTCAACATCGAGCTACCTTCCAAGCGCGCTATCGCAGGGCACACTGGACGCGCATCGGAACACGTCCCCTCAATCGGTGGCGGCATCGACGGTATCGAGTGCATACAATACGAACCTTGCATCATCGAGTTTGTCCCCTCATCTGAAAATGTCAGCAGGCCTCGAAGGATCAGCAGGCCATGGCATGTCGGTGGTCCAGAGGACACCATCAGGACAAGGTATGACTCAGTGGGGACCTCCGACTCCCCATATGCCACAATACCCTACTTCATTATCTCAGGGAGGTCGGGGTTCTTGGGACTATGGTTATCTCAACGCTTCCACAACCGCGGGCGTCTCGGCGGCTACGCACTCGATGCAGATCTCACGACCCGACGTTGGGACCGAGCTGGACCAAATCGCAGCAGACAACACCTATCAGCAATACGGCGAGCGTACGACGAGGGTGTAGAATATGGAATATTCAGGGCGTCTGATCTACTGGATGTCGCGTCCATGGGCGGTGTGGTTCAAGGACTGGCGTCGGGTGATCCACTCAAGGTCCGCATGATCCGAGCGCGCTAACCGGATATGGTGTCGCACCATTCCTCTATACCCTCTTACACCACTCAACATTGCATCTGCCTCACGCAACACGTACACCCACACTTCCATCTACCCTGTTTCATCTTTGCCACTGTATGGGCTTGTGTTCCCATCTACTGGGGCGCTCTATCGGACCACTGCCTTCGGCACAGCAGCATCCTTCACAATCAAACCCCCCCGGGCACGAGGCGTTTGAGAGTCCCTCAGGTTGATTACCCGTTCTGCCCATCATGGCAACATGCATATTCAGGATTGCGCCGCATCTGATGGGGCTTGGTCACATGGTTGCCTGCTGCACACGGGTGCGCGCATCAAACCACGAGCTTCTTCTTGACAGCACGGGTTACGGATGACTTGCAGCCCCGCCGATATCAGGCTACATACCCAGGAGTCAGTCTCTTTTCGGCTGCACACATCCACCATAGCCTACTCTTACTACCCTTTTTTGACTCTGTTGATATTGGTACCCTCACCGGCTTCATCTCTTCCCTTCTCACCCTTTCACACTCTCATCATCATGCGAGGCGGCTTCCGGGGACGGGTGCTTTTTTTTTCTTTTTTTTTGGTTGGAGGCAAATGTTGCTTTTGGGAAAGTTTTGACGACGATCTATTTTTTATCTGTGCGTGCGGAGGGCGCAGATGATAACATCACCTCACTTCACCTCACTGCATTAGAGAGGGACGGGGGATCTCTATGGCGCCTGGCTTGTGTGGGCTGGACTGTTATTACCAATACCGAGTAGTTTGGGGCTTTGCTTGCTTGCTTGCTTGCTACCCATGTAGGGCGCGGGGCGTGTTGTTTGCTTGCGCTTTATTTTATCATCCGTTTCGGGCTAGGGTTTTTTGTGTTCTGAGATTCCCCCGTGCTGTTGCTGTTGTTGTCGTTGTTGTGGGATTTTTTTCCAAATCTTGTTTTCTCCAGCCTTGTTGTATGGTCTGGGGTTGTAGGGAGTAATTCTTTTTCTTGTGCAATACTATGCTATGCAGCGCAGTCTCTGTGCCACGCCCGCTTGGTTCTTGCAATTCTCAATGATATACATAGTCTACCTCAGTGTATAGTACCGTACGCGCAAATGCACCAAAGCACACGTTAACCGCAAACCAGACAATGGAAGACGATGCAGATGCCAAATAACTTACATTTTCCACACCCATGCCCTTCAAGCCTATTGATTCTCGCTGCCGTAGTCGCATGCACGCTTCTTGTATGAGGTTCTTCATCCCTTCCACATACTCTACCCCCTCACTCTAACCTCCTCTATTCCCTAGGTACCCATTTCGGCACAATGCAAAAAAAACACAAACATCCAATAATCAAATCACGTAAACACACCCAGGCAGTGAGCAGATTACCGCAACCTTTGACATGCACGCTTGCTCATCACTCCAAGCCTCGACGCAAACATTTTGCTTCGCCACAATAACAAGGCGCAGTGTTGTAGCTAGCAATAGGGCTAGCAGCGGTTTTGTCTGGAGTGTTGGGGTTAACCTGGTTTGGTTTAGTGTTGGGCTAGTCTGATCTGGGTTAGCAGGAGTTCGGTTGTAGGGTACGGCGTAGTCTACCTAGTCTGGTCTTGTCTTGTCTGGGTAGAACGGGGTCAATTGCGTTGGGTGTTGTGAGTTAGGTGCCCATGTCAGGCATGGTGCTGTTTGTGCTAGTACTTTGGTTATGTCCGCTACATTCAACAATTCAAAATTACTCAACCTGACAAACTGGAAATAAATCCCGCTTGCACTTTTCTTTTCGCCGTCTGGCGGGTAAGGTACGGTATTGGGGGGGGGGGGGGGGGGGGTAAATTAAATGTCGGGTTCAACAACCAAGGTTGTCACGTTCTCTCAACACAAAAAAAAAAGG